CACTTCATGCAGTGTAATTCTCAGTTTTCATTATCAGTCCATCCTCGAGTATAATATAATATTTGGCAACCCAATTGTAATAGTACGGCTCACGCTATCATACATACTGTATCTGTTGATTATAGAGGATGTTTTTTTTTCAGTGGAAACTGAAATGTGTCTTGTACTCGGATTTCTCAGCTTTCTCAGCCCTATTGGCAGCAGAGGTGGAATTGGAGATGTGCATTTCCTGGTGACTCTGTGACCGTGCCGGACAGCTCTGTTAATGAGGTGACTGGGCAACTGGACTGCAGGGTCCTGCCTGGACAGCAGGGTCGGTCCTGACTGCTCTTGAGCAGCATGTTGAGCTTCTCCGGGCCTCTCCAGCTGCAGGGTGGTATTTCACATCAGTGCATCCGAGCAGCTGCAGGTTTGCCCTCATGCTACAGCAGGAGAGCTTCCACAGCTGGAACACTCTGGAGCGTGTCAAAGCTCCGTCCTCCCCCGTTGTCGCGTACCCATTCGGGCCACTTTCCAGACGTGCTGTGGGTGTTGGTTTCCCAGCCGGCACCTGGCTCGGAGCACCAGTGGCCGAGAGCGATCCAGTGTTGCAGCTGAGGGCCTCAGAGCCTGCTGTTGCAGTAAAGCCCTTCTCCACCTGTGCAGGGTGGGATGCTGTGGGAGTGCCTGCAGTCCTTCCAGGAAGACCGTAAATTAGTGACTTTCATTAGTGAGACATTATTTTTTTTCACCTTAACCATCTGTTCGCGCTGGAGATCTCGATTTCTTTTTCTGGAGGTGCACCGTGAAAGGAAGCCGGCGCGCGCTGAGGCCAGCTCCAGTTTACTGTAGGGGTGTCTATGCAGTGTAATCCAGTGGACATATTTCTCACCCACTTTCCGCAGTCCAGGGCTTGGCTTTGTGCACTGCAGCGCAGCACTGTATATGTGCGCCAGCTGGGAGGAGGCCACTCAGGATCCGTTACAAGCGACTACGTGGAGTGTCCAGCTGTTGGCAGGCCACTGTGGTGCCATCTTGGAGGTGTCTGCTCCCGCAGGCCCGCTGTGATGTGCCAAGGCAAGAGCAGGGCCATGTGTGTTATAGCACAGAGGAATGGCAGACTGTGGCAAAGCAAGGCCGTGTGCCTCTGATGAGTGTGATCAGACTCCAGTATAGCAGGGAGTATGCAGATGTACTGCAGCAGACCTGCATGAGGGATTGTGGTCTTTAGAAGTGGTTTGTTTCTCTAAAGTGGGAACACAGGAGTCTAAGTTTAACTGTCCAGTGAAAAGAATGCTGGTGCTGATTTGAGAGCAGTTTCAGAGTTGTATGTCTCCAGCGGAATGTATGGTGGGCTCTATGTGCGCGTGTGCGTGTGTGAGTTTGTGCATACGTGCGTGTACGCATGTGTTTGTATGCGTGCGTCCATGTGCAAGCTAGTGTGTGTGTGAGCTTGTGTGACCGTGCTTGTTTCCACATGCTTGTGTGTGTGCCTGCACATGTGTGCTTGTAAGCTTGTGTTTATGTGCACACGCAGGTGCGTGTGGTTTGCATGCAGGCTCCCGTGCATGTGTGTGGCTGTATGTGTGTGCGCTTATGTGTCCTGTGTGTGCATGTGTTTGTGTGCACAGGTGTGTGTGTTTGCATGTGGTTGTGTGTGAGAGTGCCTGTGTGTGTGTATGTGTGCGCACGTGCCCAGGGGCAATAAGGAATGTTGGTTAGGAGGGGGTGCAGGAAACCATGTTCAGAAAATCAGGATCTTTCTAATATACAGGAAAGCAGCTCATCATCTGAGGACGGACCGATCTGCTGTTTTGACCCTTTCCTTCCTAGTTTGTTCCTTAACCCTAGCTGTTCCCCCTTTGAGATCTTATTGGATTGATTTTACCGGCATATCCTGTTGGGCCTGGGCTCAAGTCCCGAACTGGAGAGTGAGCATAACAGTCCAGCACCGCGACCACCAGTCAGACTTTACCGATCGAACTCCCTCGGAGACGACGATCTTTGTCCTGTTCCATTCTGTTGTACTGGGAGAGAAATCAGCTCTGAGCAGCTGACACCGGTTTCTCCTCACAGGTTTATTTTCTGTCTCTGGAGTGTTTACACGTCGCTACCAGAGAGGTCTGACCTGAGCCCAACAGCCCAGATCGCTCAGCTCTGTCACAATTGAAGGGGAACAGCAGTCCATAGTTCTCGAACTGGTTATTAAATCTGGGTAACATAATACATTTCTGGACGGTATAAAAATATTTTTGAATTCAGCACAAAATCGTGAACTTTGTGAAAGTTCCCCATGTTGTTGCAAAGCCCTGGTCTCGCCACAAGCTACAGTTCACAAGAATTCGAACTTCTGAGCTGAAGCAGCCCTTCCTGCTCACTAGTCACTGTAATGACTAATGAAGTGGGATATATGAACGAATAAGTACTGGTTGTGCAGCAGATATTTTAGCACAGTGTGATCTGCAGGCAGAGTTAACATGTAAGTTGTACTTGTCGACATAATCGTCTTGAAGTCGATAGCAGTATTTCTGTCAGATTAAAAGAGACATGTGCACCAGCCTGCTTGTTTACAGTGTAATGGGGCCGCTTCGTATCACTGGAAGTCTTGTTGCCTCTGAACATGGCATTGTGCATACCTGGAAATTTGAATCTATTTTGATTGTAATGTAAATTGGGGGTTTTACATATGACTGTGTACATTTTACTTTCATTGTGGTTTGAAATGCGCTCATCAGCGCTGATTGTCTCTAACCACAGAATTTAAAAATAGCTTTGCAGTTCCCCCTTATTGATTGCCGTTTGTCGAAGAAAGGCGAACGCGCGATTCTTCCTGATCCCCTGTGCATTCGTGCCAGTGAGCGTTAGCTCAGGTCCTCGGGCGAGTCGGCAGTGTCAGGAAGTGTGTACTGGGGGGCCCCCCGTCTGGAGGCCTCGCGGAACGCGGGAGCTGTCGGCCTGTCAGCTGTGGTCTGAGCCACGGGCCTCCCGAGTGGTGGAGCTCATTGCACTGTGCTCTGGCCTCCTGTGGTCTCCCCCACGGAGCTGCGCCCCGAGGCCGCGCTCGCCGATCCCGCTGATCCTGCTGCCGTGGAAACCGTGCCCCCCTACCCGAGAAGAGAGGGGAGACTCTGTGTGAGTTGGCCGGTGTGCTTATTTAGGATTATCGGGGAACCGGTTTGCAGGGAGAGCGGAGACGAATGAGCCCGGAGAGGCCCGGCCGGCGGTGCAGGAGGAGAGGAGCCCCTCCGGGCTAGTCTCCTCCCAGTGAGTCGCCGGAGAGCTCCTGTGACTTGAGAACGCATCCCATACGCCTACCGCTCGCTCCGCGCTGGCTCAAGATGAGGAAGGTTTGGGAGTGGGCCTGGCGTGGCTGACTCCTGTGTGCGCGCGCTGTCTGAGCTCGCGGCGAACGGCGCCTGGCTCAGTTCAGAATCCCTCCCACGCCCCTCTCCGGGCCCGCCTCGAGCTCCAGCCCTCCCTTTCGGATTCCCCCCTCCTGCGGTTTGCGCGCACGTCCGTGGCACACCACCAATGCGGTAAGGTGGGCTCTGGCACTGGCCCTCGTGCTCAGACTCCTCGCTCAGCCCCGGACCTCCTGCAAGGTTACCCAGGCGCCAGCCTTCTCAGCGAGAAACTGTTATAATGCCTGATTATCTCGCTCAGCCCATTAATCTCCTCCTGGCTGAGGGCTCACCTCGGGCTCAGCGGCTGCTATCAGCTCCCCGGCTCTCGGCCTGTGGGAGGGGCAGGAGGCCCAAGGGCGCTGGGGCGAGTGGAAGCAGGGGCAGGAGGGGCAGCAGGGGCAGGAGGCCCAAGGGCGCTGGGGCGAGGGGCAGCAGGGGCAGCAGGGGCAGGAGGGGCAGGAGGGGCAGGAGGGGCAGCAGGGGCAGGAGGCCGAAGGGCGCTGGGGCGAGGGGCAGGAGGCCCAAGGGCGCTGGGGCGAGGGGCAGCAGGGGCAGGAGGCCCAAGAGCGCTGGGGCGAAGGGCCGGAGGCCCAAGGGTGCTGGTGGGAGGGGCAGCAGGGGCAGGAGGTCCAAGGGCACTGGGGCGAGGGGCAGCAGGGGCAGGAGGGGCAGCAGGGGCAGCAGGGGCAGGAGGCCCAAGGGCGCTGGGGCGAGGGGCAGGAGGCCCAAGGGCGCTGGGGCGAGGGGCAGCAGGGGCAGGAGGCCCAAGGGCGCTGGGGCGAGGGGCAGCAGGGGCAGGAGGGGCAGGAGGCCCAAGAGCGCTGGGGCGAGGGGCAGGAGGCCCAAGGGTGCTGGGGGGAGGGACAGCAGGGGCAGGAGGTCCAAGGGCACTGGGGCAAGGGGCAGCAGGGGCAGGAGGCTGCTCCCTGCTGTGATGCTGATGTGGGGAACAAAGCCACTTGGTGCCTCCTGTAAAGAGCACTGCCTCCCCCCTTGCAGGTGGAGCAGGTGGAGACCTGCTCTTATCTGATCCAGTGCAGATCCTCGTCCTCCACGCTTCAGCAGCATTCAACAGATTTCCCTCTGAACTGGACCTTGCGGCCAGGAGCAAGCTGACGGGCCGATGGGCCTGTCCTGCTCATTCTCCTGGTCCTGGTACCCATGACACAGGCTGCACACCCTCGGCCCAGAGTGTAATTGAGCGCGGAAGTGAAGAGCCCCGTCTCTTCAACTACCTTGAGCTCGACACCCATGTTTCTGGTGTGCACTGGTGGAGTACAGCGTGTTACTTTCAGCCTCGCTTGAGGACACTGAGGACCTTGGTCTAATCTGGGACACGTGTCCAGTGTGGTCACCTGTCTGTGGAGGTTCTCCCAGCTCACGGCCACCGGGGCTCAGCCTGGGTTTCTGGGCTCCTTGCTTTGCCCGCCTTGGAGTCTGAGTCCTCTGCCTGAGTCCTGGCAGTGTAAAAACACCCCCGTGTTCCTGAGCAGAGGCCGGTCCGTGATGTTTGTGTTTTTTTTTAATCCACACTAATTACTGATTTTAGATTAGAAGATGTGCAAATCAGCTTTCCAGCTGTCCGTTCTCATTAAGATACATGTGGCGTGGACAGACAGTGTGTAATTTTCAGAGCTGGGCTCTGCAACACAATCCCTATGGAGCTCTGCAGGGGTCCTGTCCCGTTCCTATAGGGGTCCTGTCCTGCACCTTGTAGGGGTGCTGTCCCGCTCCTTGTAGGGGTGCTATCCCACACCTATAGAAGGTTCCTTCCTGCACCTGTAGAGGGTGGTGTCCCGCGCCAATCAGGGGTACTGTCCCAGGTTGAACAAGGGGCACAGGATGCAGCGTGAGGGTCAGGGCTGAGGGTCTCCTGGAATCGGCACCGATCAGGAGACGGATGTCATAATCTCCCCGCTGAGCTGACCAGCGACACTCATTAAAGTGGTGCTCGAGCTCCCTTGAGGTCAGCAGTAATTAAAGTGTTCCCTTGCAAACGACCAGGCAGAGCCTCGTGGTATTAAAGGCGTTTGGCTGGGGATGGCGTAATGAGCCAGCCTGTAATTACGCTGCCCTCATGAGACGCGCTGTGCAGCAGAGCAGGCCGCAGGCAGAGATCGTCCAAGCTGAGCTCCGTCAGCAGTGGCAGTGTTCATCTGGTGAGCTGTTTGTATACAGTCCTATCGGCGTACGTGCTGCTTCCAAAGCTCGGTGAACAGAAGAATAAACAGTGGTAAACAGCTGCTGAATGTGGGATGTTTAAAAGCTGGAGCCCAGCAAGGGGAATTCTGAGTGCTCTTTGTGCCAGTGCAGCAGTTTCTGCTTAGCTTGGGAAAGCAGCTGTATAAGCTTGTAATTGGAGGCCATAGGAGGACTCGCAGCACATTTGGGGAAAAAATGCAATTCTGATGTATTTTTCATATTGCATTTTAGTCAGAGCTTGAAAGAAGTGGAGCAGATTTTGCATTGGAGCCAGACAGTTTTTGAAATGTGTCCTGGAAATGTCTTTCGTCATACAGAGTGTTTCCTGAAGAAGAGATAGCTGTCCTCTCTCTCTCTCTTTTTCCTGAATACTTCTCCCTCTTCGGTGGAATTGATTTCATTAGGAGTTTTTTTAAATATACTGTAATTGACAATTTTAATTTCTCTACAGTTCCTTCCCCTTGAAAAAGTTCCCGAGAATGGAACTTGTTTTTTATTGCTGTAGTGTCTGCTCTCTGGCTTCCTGTATGATAACGGCTCTTCAGTGTTTCTCAGGAAAAGCACCAATTAAAAAAAGGCCTGATGGGGCACTTCTGCAGCGACAGCATTGCACTCTGTTGATGCTGTTTGTTGCCAGCGATGATGTCAGCTGGGAGGCTGGAGCTGTTAACCCCTTCACAGTCTCTCTATCGCCCCCTTGGCTCTGTCTGCAGTCCCCCTCACCTCCCACGCCTCCGGCTCTCGGGAGAGATGGAGACATGCGTTCGTGCAGATCGCTGAACCTCATTCCTCCCTCGACCGGCTCGAGGGCTCTTGCCTGCAGCAGGGAGGAGCTCAGGCTCGGAGGGTGAAGGCTGGGATCGGGCAGGTGAAAGCTCGGGCAGGGAAGGGGAAAGCTGGGATTGGGAAAGTGAAGAGTCGGGCTGGGGCAGGTGAAAGCTGGGATCAGGCAGGTGAAAGCTCGGCAGGGAAGGGGAAAACTGGGATTGGGGAGATGAAAGCTGGGATGGAGAAGCTTCTCCTTTGAATCTCGAATGCGTGTGACTGGCGTTCACATCCCCCACCGCTGGCACCAGGGCCAGGGCAGCGGTGAGCCCAGCCGGTGGGGAGTTGACGATTCGAAATTAGGGGGGTATTAAAAACCAAGCGAAAAATAATCTAAATAAGTCTAAATCGGGATAAAAACAAGCCACCCTTTATCAATCCGAAGTGACCAGCCGGCGCCTCTTCCTCCCCTGCGAAGGTGGGCCTCTCATGCACCCCTGCTTGCCCCCGCAGGTGGCCATCAAGATCATTGACAAGTCCCAGCTGGATTCGGTCAACCTGGAGAAGATCTACAGGGAGGTGCAGATCATGAAGATCCTCGACCACCCACACATCATCAAGCTGTACCAGGTAATTAATAACCCCTTTACTAAACGACCCCCAGAGTGGACCACCACCATGCTTTGCGCTCTTCGTTGCCTCTGTTTGTTCGCCGCAGTGGAGAGGAGCCCTGTGCTACCTTTCTCTTCTCCCTGGCCAGAGAGATCTAGCGCTTCCGTAAAAAAAAAAAAAATCTGAAGCAATAAAAGAAATCGATAAGGAAACTGTAGAGTGGCAGCGGAGGAGCCTGATTTGGGCTGCTGGACTCTCGCCTCCGAAAGATGTTCTCTGTGCAACGGTTTGGAGAATTCCCGCGGGGCTGGGATGACTTCACCACGTTACATAAGGCTGTAGGTCATTCTAGTCACCGGGAATGCGAGGAGCTGCTCACTCATTACACAACTCGGAGGAGCTCATCCAGAGCGCGCTGTGTAATCAGACCGTATCATTATTTCCAACAGCTCAAGCGTTCAGCTCCACGGGTCAGTTAGTCATTTCCTTTCAGGATCTCATAAACACGGCACAGGCCCGCGCGGCTCCCGGGCGCAGACATCACCCCAGCCCGTTCTCCTCACAGCCCCCCCCAGAACTGCAGTCGCTACGTCTCAGGCCTAGCCCCCCCAGAATTCACTCCATGTTCCTTAGAAGTCTTGTTCTATTGTTGAAAAAAAAGCCCAAGACAACGCAGGAAGAATAAAAGCTCTTTTTTTTTCGCCCTGCTCCAGAATCATAAAAGCGCTTAAAAAACTGATTCAGGTTTTGTCGAACCCTCAGCAGAATGCAACTGCAAAGCACTTGAGCACACCATGGAACTGGGCTGCCCTGTTAATGTTGTTCTCTACAACCGTGGTGCTATTTGTGCTAGCAGTACAATGCATATAACACTGAAGACATAAGAACAGCTCTGCCTGCACACTAACTCGTGCTTTAACTAGGGCACTCCGGATCAGTGCCGTTATGTGCGCCGGTCCTGGTTCTTCTGCGGTCCAGTCTGAGGGCAGTCTCATGGGTTTGCACTGTGCTTGTTTAGCACCATCTGGAGCTCTGTGCTAACTGTAGTAGGAAGATGTACCTTTGCCCCTAGGTCAGATCAGACAGAGCCAGATTCCAACTCCACTGAGTTCCCAGCATTCGAAAGAGTTTTATCTCCGATCAGGCAGGATTTGCATGAGACAATTCTGTTTGGTTCCAAACGTTTGCCTGCGGGGACAAAGTACAAGAGTTCATGTGGGTGAGCAGAGCGCAGAGGTCTGAACGCTGGCTGGCGGGCTGGGGTGACACATCATCTTCATCTTCTAGGTAATCTGAGGAAGCAATAAAGCAGGCAGATAAAATGGTAGGATAAAGGATCAAAAGCATAGCATTTCGGGCACTTGCGGTCACTGTGTTACAGAACATCCCAAGAGCATGAGGCACGCCTTTACACAAAGAGTTGTGGGAGTCTGGAACAAGCTACCCAGCCATGTACTGTAGTTGGAGATGTTACCCTGGTTTCTTTCAAGATCCTTGTACCAGCCAGACTGAAGGACTTCCTCCCGTTTATGCCCGCGGGGCACGAGAGTTGAAGAACGCGAAACGAGGAATGAAGAGATCTCCATGCTGTTGGAGGCAAATAAAGCCTGTTTTCACTCCGGCCGATCTGTGAGTGGAAGCGGCGCGAGAGAAGTTTCTGTGAAAGACAGATGTCTTTAAAAATAACAGCTCTGTTGCTATTCTGGATTTGGCAGGGAGCAGCTAATAGAACTGTAGGTGTGTTTTTACAGCCGCCTACAGAGTTAACAGGTCTTTTGTGAAAATGGCAGACAAGGGGTATTAATAGAGGAGAGGCTTTTGTGTGCCGAGGCTCTCTGCTCTCTGCTTGATGTGTTCTGGTGTCTCTTGACAAGCTGAGCAGGCGGGAGAGTTACGGCGCCCTGCCTCCCTGCCTCCCTGGGCTCCCGCACCATTATCCCCCCCCAACGCGAGCTGGAGAAGGAGGAGGGGAACAGGTGGGCTCTGGAGCTCGCAGAGCCTCCGAGTGACGAGACCAGGACAGGAATAAAAAAATAGATCCCGCTCTTCCTCAGTCCCTCCTCAGAATTCATAGCGACTCCTTGCTCTTACCACACAATAAACCAGATGATCTGTCCGTATGCTGCTCTGGGCTGCTCACTAGGACGGGGTTCAGGTGGGGGTTTTTTTCTGGAGGCGTCCTATTGTATGTTCAGTAGAAACTCATTTGGCCCTGGCAGGAGATCGGGGTGCACAGGACCCACTAAGCGACCTGCCTCTGTCCGAGCTCCAGTTTCCACAACAGGCTCACAGAGCAAGGTTGGGGTTCGCTGGCTCTGTCTCCGGAGCCCCTCTTTGGGCCCCGTGCACCCCGGGCAGGGCAGGAGACAGCTGGGAGCACAGGCTCTCTCCTCCAGGCCCGAAAGCAGATATCCACTCCGTCTCCCTCTCTGTTGCTGGTCAGTGTCTTCCCCCTCCTGTGCTCGAGTGTGGTGCTGAGCCGCTGTCAGTCACAGGTGTCCTGCTGTGGGTGGGCTGGGGGGCAGATCTGTCCTTCCTGTCACGTCTGCAGAATGAGCTGGGGTCACCAGTCTCCCCTCCCCCACCACACCCCCAGCAGGATTTAAACCAGCTGGAACGGCTGGACCCTGAGTTCACTGTTGACGTCTGACCGCGAGTTTGTTCTTCTCTCCCCGGCAGGTGATGGAAACCAAGAACATGCTGTACCTGGTGACGGAGTACGCCAAGAACGGCGAGATTTTCGGTGAGTCTCCGGCAGGCTTCCCGCTGAGTGGCCCTTGTCAGGTGCCGGCAGGGGTTCTCCCCTGTGATTGGGGTGCTTTTCCCCTGGCTGGATCGCGGTTTTAGCGCAGTGTGGCTCTGGTCTCGTGGTGAGGCCGGGCTGGAGTATCTGCGGGTCCTGCAGGACCAGGATCAGGGATGAATCGCGCTGCCGTTGGTGCTGCTGATGAGATTTCCGGGGGACTTGAGCGAGGCCGGGGCTGCGGTGTGTAGGGCAAAAGGTGGCTTTGTTTCGCCAGACAGAGGTGGAACGAGGCTGATTGAAAATTGTCACACTGCTCTCTCATCCTGAGAGACTAACAGATCTGAAGGGCACTGCGGAAAGGTTTTAAATTCGTGCATTAAGAAGAAGCTGTGTTTGTTTATTTAGGATGGAACAGAAAAATCTGAGGAAATCCCACATTGATACTACTGGTGATGGAAATACTCACACTTATATAGCTTTTTTTCTGGACACTCCGCTCAAAGCTCTTTACAGCTAATGGGGATCCCCTCCACCCCCACCAGTGCAAAGCCCCTCCTGGTTTCAGTGGGGAGGAGAGCAGAGTGTTGAAGCCAGTTCAGAGATGGGCATTATTAAGAGGCCATGACTGGTAAAGCCCAGGGGGAAATTTGGCCAGGACACCGGGGTAACACCCCAACTCTATTCAAGAAATGCCCTGGGATTGTTCATGACCACAGAGAGTCAGGACCTCAGTTTGACATCTCAGCCGAAGGACGGCGCCTGTTTACAGTGTAGTGTCCCCGTCACTATACTGGGGCATTAGGACCCACACAGACCGCAGGGTGAGCGCCCCCTACTGGCCCCACTAACACCTCTTCCAGCAGCAGCCTCAGCTCTCCCAGGAGTCTCCCATCCAGGTACTGGCCAGGCTCTCACTGCTGAGCTCCAGTGGGGCTGCCAGCTGGGAGCTGCAGGGTGATACAGCTGCTGGCTGTCAATCAGGAAATGCTGGAAATCGGAGCGAGAGGCGTGAGGGGTGCCAGGTCGGAACTGTCTTGTTTCCGCTATCCAGGCCCGGCTGAGAGGCACACCTGGCTCAGGTTCCCAGTCTGGCGCTGGAGCAGGCGACTCCATCTGCTCTTTGCCCCTCTGACGCTGACCGACGCTGCCTCTCGCGGGGGTGTAGCCAGCAGTGGGCGGCCATGGCAACGCCTTGTGTATGGCGTGAAGGGCCACACATGTCCCAGCTGGGCTGCCTGTGTTGAGGGCTCTCGTTTCGGGGGGGTGCACAGCAGGGCATCGGCGCAGAAAGCAGAGCTCGCAGGGAGAAGCCAGATCCCCCGGGCAGGAGGGGACGGACCCCTGGCAGGAGCCGATTTCACTTTGCCTCTGGCGGGGTCGTGCGGGGGTCACTGCCAGCGACGGTGGCGCCCTCCCCTCGCAGGACCCTGCCAAATGCCGCAGCAGTCTTGTGGCCCAGAGTAGTGGAGCAGAACGGGAGAGAAGTGAGAGAAAGGAGGGGAAATAATGGCAGCACGAGGGGCAGAAAGAAGGCTGTGCTCCTGGCCCGTTGGACGACTCCTTCCGACGTTCCCATTTCCAGCAGGGAAGGGCTGCAGGCAGACGAAAGCGCTTTCCCCAGCACAAAAATGTCTCCTGGGCTCTTGGCCTCCCCGTCTGCCAGGCCGCCGCCACGCGCACACCTAGAAACAGGGTTATTTTGAAACCAGTTGGCCCTCAGGCAGCGTCGTGCGAGAGGAAGAGCCAGCTGCCTCCGCACGGAGTGAGAGAGCGGAAAAGAAAACGACAGCACGCAGGGTGAACGCCGGGTGGAAAGGCAGAGCTTTGCAGGACGGGCCGCGCATCAGGCCTCAGGGCAGGATCGCCGGCGGCCCGGTCGCCCCGGTAACCAGCTGCTGCGGGCTGCTGTTCGTGGGCCAGAGCCGAGCTCCCAGTGGGCGGCCACTGGCAGTCGGGCGCGACGGCACTCTGCCCGGCGCTCGGACAAGTGCAGGCGACTGTGCTCGCGATGGGCAGCCCGGGGGTTTCAGAGGCACCGCGTCAGGGATGCTGGGTCCGCAGCCGCCTTGGCAGCCTGGCGTTGTCAAGGCCCGAGTCAGGCTGGCCGGGAGGGTTCTGATCGGACACGCAGCCCGCGGCGTGCAGGTCGAGGTCCGCTTCCGGGCGCGTGAGCGTCTCGGCCGTTCCAGAGCGAGCCACCTTCCCCTTGCTGATGAGCACGTGCGGCAGTCCCACAC